TGCTATGCTTCATACCCAAGCACCTCACTAGATAAACACAAGGAGGACCGGGCTAGGCGGCATCTCGACAGAGCCTAGCCCGGGCACCTCCTTTGGTCGGCCTTCCTGCCGATCAAACGATCTCCTCAGTTGACCACGCCTTTCTGGGCGCCGGTCCCTCAGCTCGTCTGGCTTCAGCCATCCCCTGATCAGGCAGCTCGGTCCAACCGAGCACTACCTTGCCGAGTTTCTCGGTCTGGGGCGACTCACACTCGGCCCAAGTTCTGCCCGGCCCAAGTTCTGGCAGCCCATCTCTGGGCGGATAGTCGATCATCTCGGCCCCATGCACTGTTGGGCTCTCAACCTGTTCGGCCGTTGCCTCGGCCCAACTCCAGATCGCAAATCACCCTCTCAGTAGGCTAAGCCAGCGCAGTCAACTCTTGCTATGGCGAGGTCTTGAAGAAACTGTTGTATGATGACTAGCTCACTATTTCTGCTTTCTTCGGCTAGGGTGTGTATGTGGGGTTTTAGGTCTTCTATTTCTTGGCTTTTCTCACAAAAAGATCGAATGATAGAATGTCTGAAGAAATACATTCTAGCACTCAATTGGTCAAATTCCTCACTAGTGAGTTGTCTAATTTATGGGTTAAGAAAGTGGGTAGTTGTTTTTCCTGGAGCTAATTTTTTAAGCTTGTTGGTTAGGGTTCGAATAGTGGCTTTCAATTGTTTTTCTTCATCTCGGAGCTGGTCTAGCTCTTCACTGACCCTTTTGCCTTTATCCATAATTTTCGTGAAATTTCTGATAAGGCCTTCGCAATGTCTGCACATCTAGAGGGGATTTTATGAATCTATCTGAGGGTTAGAACTACTGCTTCCAATTATCTGGCTAACTGGAACTCCACTAGTAGCAAGAATGGTTGACCTCATCTTGCTTAATGTGTCCAGGTAATCTTTAGTTATCTGACTGATAAAATAGCTGGTTCCTATTTGTCTTCGGGCGTAGGTACTAGCTGACTCGAAATCATAAAATCCTTTAAACTGGGGTATGGGAAAATTTTTAACTAAGGGTTCTACTTCTATCCAGTCATGGTAAATACCAGGGTTAATTCCTTTAACTACTACATAGAAAGAAAAACTTTTAGACAAAGGTTTATTTTGGATTTTTGAAAAATATATACTAAGAGTGTTTAAGGCTGACAGGAGTTTAGCTTGGTGGCTATGGCTATTCCAAAGGTTATCTAAAAGACACTGTTGGACTCGGTCTAGGTCTATTCCTATTAATGGTCTGAACTTGTTTCTGCCTTCATGAATGGGAAGAGCGAATCCCCCAAAGTTCATGGTTTTGCTGTTCTCCATTATCTGCACAAAAATTAAACTAGTTATATTCTTTTTCTAAATAAATTTTCCTACTTAACCAATCTGTTAACCTATTATCACTCCCTTTAATATGTTCAAACTCTACTTTATATCTTTGTCCTACTATACAATCTAAAAATTTTGCCCATCTTCTAGTACTCAATTTACGCTCTTTAAGTTTATTATGAAATCTAACTATAGCTTTACAATCTGTTCTAATAGTAAAAGGTTTGTGCAAAAATAATCTAAATTTATTTATTGCATATACTACCCCTAGTATTTCAAAATCTAAGCTGGTCATGGTCGTGTCTTTTTCTTTAAATTTTCCAGAACTATATCTACAAATGAGTTCTTTATTTTTACTATCATACTTACTAGGTTTAGCTAATAATATTGTTTCCCATCCTAATTGACTTGCATCTGTTTCTACAACTATATATTCTGACTCTAAGGGAAGTTGTTGGTCTGGTAAAAATGCGTTCTTTATTTTTACTATCATACTTACTAGGTTTAGCTAATAATATTGTTTTCCATCCTAATTGACTTGCGTCTGTTTCTACGACTATATATTTTGATTCTAAGGGAAGTTGTAGGTCTGGTAAATTTCTACAAATGCCTTTAATTTTTCTAACTAGAGCTATATCTTGTTGATTAAAATATTTTTGTCGTGTGGGTGTGGTCTTGCTGTATAGAGGTCCTATTATTTTACTAAGGTTAAGAATATACATTCGTGCATAATTTAAGATTCCTAAAAAAGATTGAAGATGTTTTGTATCTTCTAATTTATCTGGATATTCTAGGATTTTCTTGACTATATGAGGTTGTAACCTAATTTTTCCATCTCCTAAGTCCATTCCTAAAAATTCTATATATGGCTTATTTAATACCATCTTTTTCTTGCTAATTATTATTCCATTGTTTATGAATTCTTCTAATGCTAAATATAAATGATCTATGTGACTATTTTTATCTGGGCTGAATATTAATATGTCATCTATGTATACCAGTATAAAACTATTAAATATACTATCCATTTTACGCTGAAATATGGAAGGTGCATTTTTTAGTCCAAATGGCATGACTAGCCACTCATAATGTCACTGTGGGCAACAAAAGGCTGTCCAAGGTATGTTTTCCTTTTCCATTTTTATTTGCCAAAATCCTGACTTACAATCAAATTTGCTAAATATCTTAGCTGTCTATATTCTGTTTATGAGCTGATCTTTATCTGGTATATTGTATTTATCATCTTCTGTATTGTCATTTAACCTTTTATAATTTATAACCATTCTAGCTTTTTCTCTTTTTATTTCTGCATGATTTCTAACCATAAATGCAGCACTCCTATGCGGACTATTATTAGGTCTAATTACTCCTAAATCTAGTAACTCTTTAATTTGTGTTCTAAATTCGTCTATATCTGCTGGCGTATGATCTATTTGTGCTGAGGTAATCCTGTAATCTTTATTTTTTATATCTAAGCTGGCCAAAATTTTATTTCTTTCCTAATATTTTATGGGCTGTTCTCCTAAAATCTCTGTTGTTTCGGCTAATCTTATTATCTCATCTAAATCATTTTCTGTTCTTCTATACACTGGTTTTTTCTTTAATTTTCCTATTTTTGCAAAAATTAATTCTAGGTTAACTGTTTGTTGAAAATCTTCTAAATTCTAATAGTCTCCTTTTTCTTCAAAATCTTCTAGATCTTCATAATTTTCTATGTCTAAATTTTCTAAAGAAGTGTTTGCTATCTCTTCAGGTATATATTTTTGAAGAAGTGTTTGCTATCTCTTCAGGTATATATTTTTGGGCTAGCTCGGGAAAAATATTTCTACTAGGAAATAAAAAACTAGCGGGAACGGAATCTACTCCTATGGTACCACCACGCTTCGCACGCAACTCTGATGAATGAGCTATGGTGCTAAGGGCATATGCTGTAGGTGTATGTACGGTTTGCTTGAAGAAGCTAATTGTGTTTTGGCTGATAAACATGCCGCCTTGTAGACTAAGTATGAAGTTAAGTCCTAAGATGAAAGGATGATTTTGTCTAGTATTGCCAATCCAAACTTGAGGTAATGGGAACCATTTAGTATGCTGAGCTTGAGAACCTAGATGATGAAAACTAATCTGTGCTCCATTGATGCAATGTGTATATGTCTGTTTAGTGTCGTCGGCTATACTAACTAAAGCTGGGGTTGTTAAAGTTGTGCTCCATCCTGGTGGAACTACGTGTTGTTCAATGTATAATTTACTGGCTCCTGTATCTATCATGGCGTCTATACTAAGGGTTTTTTCTACAAATTTAATTACACAGGCTATCTCAACTAAATTTGGTTTGGGTATAACAGGGTAATTCAATGATAAATATGTATTATCTGATTGTGCTTGAGAGTATTGACTAAAAGGTTGAGAATCAACTAACTTGACTTATAACTAGTATACACTTTTTTTCAATTAGTGTATTATAAAATTCCCCTTTAAAATAACCCCGCCGGATAAATTTTCTAGTTTGTTGTCTTATACATGATGAACATTACCGTTCTCTCTTGGGAATCATTAACAAAAAAAAATAAAATAAAATGCCAATCAGTATGTTTGGTTTGAATTTTTTGAATTAAATTTTTTAAAAATTAAGTTTTTTGGTTTTCGTATTTTTTTATTTTTAGTGAATATTTTTAAAATTTAAACATTTTTTTTACTTTTTAGATACACCGTACTTAGATGTATCTAAAAAGTAAAAAATTTGTGAAAAAATATTTTAAAAAATTAATAAATACATAAAAATACAAAAAAAAATGTATTGAATTGTCGTATTTTTTTTATATTTTGGGTATTTAGTGAATTTTTAAAAGGTTTTCTTCACAAATTTTTTACTTTTTAGATACATCTAAGTTAGGTATATCTAAAAATTTTAAAATTTGCTTAAAATATTAAAAAAAATTCAATAAAAACAAAAAAATACGAAAAATAAGAAAGTAGAATTTTTTGAAAAGTGTTTTTTTGAAAAGGAAAACCAAGCATAGTAATGTAAAGTCAATGATTGAGGCCTTGTTTGACAAGTAATTTTTTTAATTAAAAAGTTAAAAAATCATTAAAAAAATAAAAAAGTTAACAACTCATATCAAAAAATCAAAAATTCTTTTTTCTCTCTACTTTTTGTACATCTTTTCATAAAAAACTAAAAAATTATCCCAAACATATTAATTTTTTTTAACTCATATTTTAGTTAAATAATCAAAAAATTACTAAATTAGCCTTTTCCCATACAAGGAATGAGATTCACTCAAACTTTACATCACAGTACAAAATGACGGATTAAAAATTTTCTATCAATTTTCTTATCAAACATTTACAAGAGTGTGGATACACACCCATATCAATGTTTGATTAAAAAAAAATTGAGACTTCTAACATTTTTTTTTTCGAAATTTAAATATATCAAAATTTCGTTATCATTTTCTGGAAACTTATGTTCCCTGGACTTTCCTTCCCAAGGAGAATCTGTATGCAATACGGAATCATTTTTCTGAAAAGTTGACTAGATATGTGTTTTCAGGTGACAAAGTGACGTCGTACGGAGGAGCGTGGACTTGGTCAACAGGATTATACGAGGAGAATTATTTCCTCCCCGTACACCATTATTCTAGTATTTCACGACAAAGATATAAACACAACACAAACATATATATTATTGTGGTCAAAATTACAAATTTATTCATAAATAATCAAGTTGGTTCGAGGCTAACTGGTTCCAGTGTACCTAAGCTGAATAAAAAACCAAAATTCAAGATGTTTTCCTTCTATCATCGACCCAAAATCCACTTCATCCTCATCCTACGGGAAATTCAACTAAAACCCTTCTATTTTCTAAACCAAAAGGCTTCAATTTGAATAGCGTAAATTCATCCCTTCCTCTTCCGTCTTTGGTAGACATATCCAGATTCACTTGCCATATACAGATTCTTCTTGTTACATTTTCTAGCTTTACAATCTCACACATTCACAATAATTCACTGCTTTCCACTCATTTCTTTCTTCTTTCTCTCCCCCCCGGCCCGCCTGCCGTCTAGACAAAATACAGCCATATCCTCATTACACAATAGGAAGGATTCCGAACCATGGGCCTATTACTGCCTCAGGTTTAATGCTTGCCTCCGTAAGGGCATTACTGGTCATAAATATTACATATCTTACATCTGCAGCATCAATTTGTCATGACCTTCTTTCCATGTCTTTGCCGCTGAATTCTCCACCACCATATGTTGCTGCTGTTGCGGTGGCCATATCAAAGCCGCCGCCGCCGCCACCAATGGAGGTCATTAGGGCCGATAGACCACTAGTGGGGCTGCTACCGGCAGCCATCCCCAACCCAAGAAGATCAAGGATCGTTTGCTTGGGACCAAACACAGACTGGGTCCCCAACATCAATTCCTTCCAATCAGAGCCACTCTCTGGCTGAATCTGCCTCCGATCCCAGTGCTGCTCTCCCGAAGAGGTCAATGAAGCAATCCCAAACCCTCTCAGCGACGATGAATTTGTTACAGCTGCCCCCATCTGAGCAGCTTTCTGAAGCAATGCTGTCGCAGACATCGCTGGGTGGGGTAGTGGAGCATACTGCTCGAGTTCTTGCCCTGCAGTGCCGAAAATTGAAGACCCATGATTGGTGTTGAGACACAGAGAAACAGGTTCAGTGGATGAAGATGGTGTGAGGTCAGGTACTCGTTCAGGATGAGACATGGATCGGATTAAGTTGGTAAATCCAGCTGGTTGAGGTTGTAAATTTGTTGAAGATGCAAACAAGCTACCAAATACACTACTGCTTGTACTTCCATTGCTGCTCGAGCTGCTAGTATTGCCACAGCTTACCGGTGCATCATCTAAGATCTGGGTCGGATTTGGATTTTCTCGAAACTCTGGAAAAATAGAAACATTCAAAAGCAAAATAAATAGAAAAGGATCAATTATATAATATCTATAGAAATTAAAGAACAATATTTGAGGTAAAGTGAGAATCAATAATAATCCACTTCACTCAAGAGACATTATTCATAGAAAAGTTGGGCTTTTCTCATAAAAGAACAATATTTGAGGTAAAAAGAGAATCAATAATAGTCTCCTTTCACAATATCCACTCCACTCTCTTTTTTAGCTTTTGAATCTATTTGCATTAGCTCTCCTCTAAAAAAACTTGTATTTCTTGTTTTCTAGTTCATGTCTTACAAAATCTCAGATCAGTATAGTCTTATGGATAAACAGAACAGAACAAAGATCAGTAAATGACAAAAAACAACTTAACTCCAAAGTTAAGTTTTTTGTTTCTTTACTCAGCTAAAACGCATCAGACAAAACCCAAACTAAAAATAGCAAAATTTCCAAAAATATTGCCGCAAATACCTGAATTTTGAATGGGCAAAACAGAGGATATCTCAGCTGTTGGTCGTAGCGATGGTGGCGATGAAGCAACAATATCAATTTTCGAGTCCTCATGAGGTGCCACTGCTTTAGTACTCTCCTCAGCTAAGGCATCACAGAAAGCTCTGTGTGTGATAAAGCTATCCCTCCTTCAAAACAACCAAAACAGAAGCAATTTCAGAAAACCCAAAACACTGAAGACAGAGGAAACAAAAAAAACAGAGGATTCAATTCAACAACCACCACCTTGAAAACAGAGTCCCACAATCGCATTTGTACTCTTTAGTTCCACAAACCTTCGAATGAGCCTTCCAATCAGACTGAACCGCGTATTTCTTTGAACACTTGTCACATTTCCATTTCTTCTCGCCATGTTTTCTGCAGAAATGCTTTTTAATCCCCGTGAGATCGCCGAGTGCTCGCGAAGGATCGTGGTGAACACAGGACGTCTCGGGACACACATAGACTCGCTTTCTAACCTCTTTGCTTGATTTCTGACGAAGCTTCCATGGAAGATTGTGTCCTCTCCTATGGAGCTGTAAATTCTGGTCTCTCTGAAACCCTTTGCTGCAGATTTCACATACAAATCGATTGGTAGCTAGTAAACTCTTCGGAGACAGAGCAATCACCTCAGAATCTGGATCTGAAAATGAAAATTATATATAAAAAAAATCATACATAAATTCAATTGAAGGAAACAAAAAAAAAAATTCTTATAATCAATCAGTGATTTTTTTTACCTGGCATTCCGGGGAGATTTCGCTTCTTCTTTTCTGGTTTTGGAGGGACAATTTGATTCCCTGAAGCTGTGGAGTCATTCATGGATGATGAAATTGGTACTAATTTATATTCAAAAAGTTGAGGAATGTTGGGTTTCGACTCATTGAGCTCTTTCTATCTATCTATCCACCAGTCAACCTTGCTTTTTTCTATTTTCCCACCTACCAACCAGAGTGTAATCAAGTTCTGACCCAAACCCAGATTAAAAAACAAGCTAATTAGCAATACTCATAACTCAAAATCATCTCTGAGCTCAGAGAACAACGAAGTATCTGAAATACTAGTCGCCGATGCTACAGGAAAACTGGCCGCCGGCGAAAACAGTGCAACCCAACGGTTAAAATTTTGAATTTAATCTTCTCTGTGGAAATGAAATAGGACACAGAATGAGATGTTTCACCGAAATTCTCGAGCTTTAAGGACACCAGAGACTCATGGAAGTGAAACTAGTTCTTTGCTGTTCAACTGTCACTTGATAATTACCAGAAAATTTCCATTTTTGGGCGAAAAAACTGAAATAACAAACAGATTTAAGCTTCGGGAAACTAGTAGAGGAACAATTGCTCGAGTCCACGGCTCAAAAAACTAGTGAGAGAAAGAGGAAGAAAAATTTAAGGGAGAGATTGAAATCTCTTCTGTGTTTCTCTCTCGTTTACTTTTCTGGAGAGGGAAGAAAATTGTAAAATTAAATCCAGACCCTTGTGGCTTATCAAATTACAGCTAATGTCCTTTACATTTCTAAAATAATAAAAACCACCCCTATCAAAGGCCCATTTTGGCAACTTTGGCTTCTTTTTTTTTTTTTGGATTGTTTTTTAGTTTTTTATTTTTATTTTTTAGGTCACATCATCTCTCCATTTTTTTATACGTTTAAAAAAAAATCAAAAAACTAATATACATTTCAAAACAACACAAAATTTCAAATAGATGTTAACGGAAGTTATTGTATTACATTTTACCCCCACTTTAGCAATATTTGTACTAAGAAAAATACATAGAAAATTGTTCTAAATTTCAGATCTCGTTTGTTTGGCGGATTATGTTAATATGGTGATATTAGTTTAAAGATGCATGATAAATATGTTTGTTTGTGTAATAGTGTTGTTGTAATAATTTGTTAGGATTAAATCTATAAAATTACATAAACACCTTCAATTGTATAATAATTATCTTTGTTATTTTTGTGTTGTAATAACAAAATTGTCTTTTCACACCCTGTAACACCCTCAAATTAACAACATTAAACCCATCAATAAAGATATGCATTGACATATGTAATAACCACGTCCTTCCATTTATCAGAATTCCATTACATAAGTATTACATGTTAACAACAAAAGCAAATGCCCTAAGGGCTTACAGCTTTCCAAGTTAACACTTGGTTACAACAAAAGAGTACTAACTCATACATATTAAGCCCTTGGCTTGAATTTACATGTAATACATCAAAAAGTAAAACAACAAAAGTGTGCCCGCCTCTAGCCTCCCAAGCTATGTCCTTGGAGGTGGCATGCTACCTGTACCTGAAAATGATATTCCCATATAGGGTGAGTCACAGCCCAGTAGAAATATACTAAACCAACCATGAACAATGACTAAAAGATTAGCAATTGATAGATGGCCAACACTGATACATTCACATAAATCACATATTTATGTCATACGACTTATGAGTCCAAGTTACCTTTTATTTTTTCCTTTTTAACGGATAGGCATATAAGCACTAACCACATTCTCGACAGATATGTATAACAACAATATCCACATTCTCAGATAAGCAAATAAGCTATATCCACATTCTACAACAGATATGTATAACCACAATATCCACAGATAAGCATATAAGAATTTCAAATAGATGTTAACGGAAGTTATTGTATTACATTTTACCCCCACTTTAGCAATATTTGTACTAAGAAAAATACATAGAAAATTGTTCTAAATTTCAGATCTCGTTTGTTTGGCGAATTATGTTAATATGGTGATATTAGTTTAGAGATGTATGATAAATGTGTTTGTTCGTGTAATAGTATTGTTGTAATAATTTGTTGGGATTAAATCTATAAAATTACATAAACACCTTCAATTGTATAATAATTATCTTTGTTATTTTTGTGTTGTAATAACAAAATTGTCTTTTCACACCCACTCTCATAAGATTGGATTAGCAATTCCACATCTCCCGTGGAAAAGTTAATCTCACTATGTGAGTTATTCATAGTCTCATTTTATTTTATTTTTTTGAATTGAGTATATAGTATTCATAGTCCCATGGACTACTAATTCCCTTTTATTTTTATCAATCAAATATGAATTATGTAAGACCTAGAGGACTGCTAATCCAATTCCCCACCTATGGAGCCAAGCATGACCTAAAATTTGTGAATCAAATCTAAAATGATAATCTACACATTTTTAATTTAAAATACTTCTTAAAGTATTTCTTTTATATATTTTAAATAATAAAAAATCAAATCCCAAACTTTTACCATCAACTACTACTCATTTGAGCCATGACTTACTTCTCTCCTACATTATATGACTTGATTTCTACATATTAAACTAATGAAATAAAAAAAATTATTTATCAAACTAGTAACAACTAAAATTGTCTAGATTATGATAATTTTGATGGTTGTGAAAGTAATACTTGTGATGGAAATAGAGGCATAAGTGGTGGTTTTAATTTGGTATGATGTGGTGGTGGCATGTTAACTCTGCCGGGGTTGTTAACAACTCTGCCGGTCCCAAGCCCAGGTTAAGGAGAAGGGTTGTGTGTTAGGTAGCCGACAGCCAACACATAAAAAAAAAAAAGTCATTCGGATCTCTTATGAACATGAATCCTACTTTGAATCGTTTAAATGCTAGGTCGTTACCCTCAAGTAACGCATTGTGTCTGCCTCCGGGTGTTTCGAAAAGTGAGCAAGGGGCGCTGCATCGACGCCTAGGTGCGGTGAAAAATGGGCAAAGGTTCCCATGTTTTCCTAGACAAGCACAAGTAAAGAAGCTAATTCAAGAATACAGGTTTAGGGTAGCCACTTGGAATATAGGAACCTTAACTGATAAGACGATGGAATTGGTAGATGTTATGATTAGGAGAAGAGTTAGTATAGCTTACGTACAAGAAACTAGTGGACGGGTAAGAAAGCTAGGTAAATTGAGGATACCGGTTTTAAACTGTATTATAGTGGTAAAGACAGACGCATGAATGGGGTAGGAATCATAATTGCCAACGGTCTGGTGGAGAATGTAGTGGCGGTCATTAGAAAAGGAGATAGGATTATGTTAGTTAAACTAGTTATTGAAGGGAATATAGTGAACGTTATTAGTGCATACGCCCCTCAAGTAGGATTAGATGATCAGACTAAGAGGGATTTTTGAGAGCAAATGGATGAGATCTTACAAGAGATACCCGTAGGAGAGAACTTGGTTATAGATGGAGATTTTAATGGCCATGTAGGCATAGATAAACTAGGTTATGAAATGGTGCATGGTGAATACGGTTTTGGTAATAGAAATAAGGTTGGAGAGAGTATCTTAGATTTTACGTTGACTCCTGACCTGGTGGTAGCCAATACTATGTATAAGAAGAGAGATGAACATTTGATAACTTTTAAGAGTGGGTTAGTTAAGAGCCAAATAAATTACTTCTTAGTGAGGAAAGTGGACCGCCTAAAATACAATGATTGTAACATGATTACTGGAGAGAGCCTGACCTCTCAACATTGGATTTTCGTACTAAATTTATGTTTTAGAGAGCAATACCAAGCTAGAAAGGATAGTGGGCGTCGTAGAACGAGATGGTAGAACCTAAAATGGGATAAACTAGAAATTTTTAAGAATAAAATGGATAAGGAAGGTACTTGGAACTTGGAAAATGATGCTAACACTATGTGGAATCTCGATGGCCAATTGTATGAAGAGAATCTCAAGGGAAGTGCTTGGAGAGTCGAAAAGGACGGGACCCAGCTCTAGGAAAACTTTGTAATGAAGGGAAGAGGTTCAAACGGTAGTTAAGACAAAAAAAAAAGTGCTTTAAAAAGTGACAAAACGATAAGACTTAGGAAAACCTTAATAGCTATAGATTGGCTAATGAGGAGGTCAAAAAAGCAGTGAGTGAGGCGAAGTTGAAAGCTTATGATGACCTATATACTAGACTGGATAGTAAAGAGGAAGAGAAGATGGTATACAAACTTGCTAAGATACGAGAGAGGAATACAAGAGATTTTAATCAAGTTAAGTGCATCAAGAGTGAGGATTCTAAGGTATCGGTGAAGGATGAAGAGATTAAGGAAAGATAGAAGAACTATTTTGAGAAACTATTAAATAAGGAACATGGAAGTGCGACAATAGGGGGAGAAATGGCCAGTAATATGGTAAACCAAGACTATAGGTTTTATCGTAAGATTAGGAACTTTGAAGTGGAGATTGCACTTAAGAAGATGAAATCAAATAAGGCTTTAGGACCCGATGATATCCTTATTGAAGCTTGGAATTGCTTGGGTAAAAAGGGGGTTGCTTGGTTGACTAGGTTGTTTAGCAAAATTTTGTTGACTAGGAACATGCCAGATGAGTGGAAGAAGAGTATTTTAGTGCCAATATATAACAATAAATGAGATATCCAGAATTACAACAACTATAGAGGAATCAAGTTAACGTGTCATATAATGAAAGTGTGGGAGAGGGTGATGGAACGCCGATTGCGAGATATAACAGAGGTATCAAAGAATTAATTTGGGTTTATGACTGGCAGGTCAACAATGGAAGCGATTTATCTTTTGAGTAGAGTAATAGAAAAGTTTAGAGAAAAGAAAAGAGACATTCATATGGTGTTTATCGACCTTGAGAAAACATATGATAGAGTGCCTCAATATATAATATGGTGGGTGTTAGAGAAGAAAATGGTGACAAAATGTTACGTTTGTGTGATTAGGGACATGTATGAAGGGGTGGTGACCACTATTAGATCGCCTGCTGGAGAGACAAATAAATTTCCTATCACTGTTGGGTTACACCAAGGATCTACCTTAAGCCCTTATCTTTTTGCTTTAGTTATGAATGAGTTGACAAGAAATATTCAGGATGACGTGCCATGGTGTATGCTTTTTACAGACGATATCGTTCTAGTGGATGAGACTAGAGAAGGAGTTAATACAAAGTTGGAGATTTGAAGAAAAGCTCTTGAATCAAAAAGATTCCGGATAAGCAGAACTAAGACAAAGTACATGGAGTGTAAATTTAGTAACAACAACAATAAAGACAGAAGAGAAGTGAAGATTGAGAACCAAGAATTGTCTAAGAGTGAACATTTTCGTTATTTAGGGTCGATTATCTCAACAGCGGAGGAGATTGATGCGGATGTGGTCCATAGGATTAAGGCAGGATAGTGTAAGTGGAAAAGTGCGTCTGGGGTACTGTACAATAAACGAATACCCACTAGACTAAAAGGTAAGTGTCACGACCCAAACCCGCCCCTATGGGTTTAGCACCGTAACCGGCCAGTAATCTGAGATTACCGAAGGCCTGCTTAACAGTAATACAGTAAAACAGAGTACGAGGGCCTGGCGGAAACCAATACAGCAAATAAACAATATCCAATGAGCTGTGACAGTCTGTATGCCAAAAAGACTTTTCATACATACATATATATATACACAT